GTTAATAAGATCAAGAAATTTCCTTGCAAGGGAAAGCTCTGTAATTCTGCAAACTTACGAAAATTTGTGAAAGCCAGGATTACTGCTTATCTCCTGATTAATGCTGAAGCTTTAGAGCAGTCTAGCAGCTAAATTAGTACTTAAATTGTACACATAGGTCAGGATTCAAAAACGAGTGTTAACTTCTTTGAGACATGAAAAGCAAGGTTGCTCTCAAGGTCTTCAGGATGAGCACAACAGTCCTGGGTTTGGTCCCACATCCTCTGAGTGCAATGGAATTGCAGCAATATAAAATCACAGGGAACAAGGTTAGAAGGAAGCCCAGGTAACAAAGGGTAATATAAAATGAAAAGTTGACTTTCACTTTGTTGCAACTGAAATTTTGGAAAAATAATAAAATAAAATAAAAAACATTGCAATGCCTTTCAAAACAAAATGTAACATGTAATCTAACCCACATGCTCTCCCAAATCAAAGGTCAATAATATTAAATCTACATTTTTATATTGCCCCAAAAACCTGAATATACTGGATCTGTTGAAGTGTTTGATACCAGCTGGAATCAAGAGCAGCAAAAGGTAAATTTGAATGAAAAATCTCTTTCAGAAGTCACCAGATAATTAATGGCTTCTTGCAATATTATAAAAATATAGGGAGAAGAAGCTTTTAATTCAACGCAACAGTAAAGTGTTTCAATGAAATTTAATTCTGGGGGAAAAAAGTAAACAAGAACATCTCTGCTTATCATAAAAAGCAATGGTCTTTGTAATGGAGCAGAAGGACTCGCGCTTTTCTCTCTTTTTAAGAAATAAAACTCTGTCAATACTGGGCACATCAGCAGTTTGAACCCTCTTGATGCTCTGATTGATGTGGCCTCACTATCAGAAGGGAGCTGGAATACAGGAAGGGCACAAAATGAACCCGAAACTCAGTAGCCCACTTCCAGGCACTCCTGTTGGTGCCAAATAAATCACTGCTAAGTATTTAGCTCATCTTCTTTCACTGGCCATGAAAGAGCTATTCTGTAATCCATAAACTCTCAAAAAGACAAGAGAGAAGGTGCCCATCCGCACTGCTGAGCACAGACACCAGTCAAGGGAGAGTAATGGGCTCTGACTGTGTTTCAGGCAGCATTTATTGAGCCAGGTACACGTCAGAAGGATGTGATTTCTCTGGTAATGGGCTTATCATACTTTGGATCTGCTCTTTGTCAAAATAGAGCACTGCCCAGACTCCCTGAAGACTTAAAATCAGCAATTTTTTAGTTTTTCCTTGCACTAATCCTTTCTGTTGCACAAAAAAATACCCCTAAAGCCTCCAAGTGTCCATTGTTTCCCCTTGGGTTTAATGAGCAACTCACAGTGTCAGCTAAAAGTTTTCAGCATCACTTCACTGAAGCATAAAGACTGGACCTATTCTTTGCAGATTATTGTCCTGCTCCTTATATTTCCAAAATTGTGAGGCTGCAAGAAGTTTCCACAACCACTTTCCATATAGGTATTCCTTCAGCTGCATTTCCTTTAGAAAAGTCCAATATTATATTTTTTTTTCATTTTATTTTTCTTTTTTAGGATAGAAATAAGGAGCCCTAACTAGAAGTGATCAGAAGACACTATAGTTTGCCTGTATCACCCAGGTCTATCTAAGGTTTTGACACTTAATTTTAACCCTCAGATTTTTGGAAGGTGAACCTCAAACTTCTACCGCATGGTTCAATCTGCACAGAAAGTAATCACATAATGAAGAATAAACTACAAAGAAATAAGGATACTGTTTTAACGTTTACAAAAAAAAAAAGCTGTCCTGATTTTTTTTTAGCCATCAGGTTCTAAGAAAATTTGCTGCAAATAATAATAATAGCAAAGTCACTTCCCTGCATAGTTCAGATTAGGTGGACCACCTGCTTAGTCTTGGCTTCAGAGCAAATCAGGAACAGGACACAGGCTGTTTTATGATGGGCATGTTTCGAATTTGAGAAAATTAACTCTTTTTTTTTTCATTACAAAAATTATCATCCTACATCTGATCTGAATCCACAAATGGTTCCTGATGGAATAACACGTTGATTAAGTCATCAAACTCTCTGGCCCTGGCACTGGTAGCAGCAAGGCAGCAGCTGCATCTGAGAGCAACTTTATGTCAAGTGAAAAAGCTGGCAAGTTCTGAGTCAACACTGAGCTACCTGACCAGGTTATCTTCTTCAGCAGCAAGAAATGTGGAGTCAGCAGGAATTTTCCTACACAGAAGGAAAGGAACCTCTGCCTTTCAATTAATTATTTAAATTACTCGATGCAACCCTTATGTTCACAATCTGTAGCTACGCTGAGAAACATAAGCGATCCACAACCTCCGAGGACCTTAATCATTACAGAATATGCAGAGGGAACTTGTTGACAACAGCAGCAGTAATTTAAATCTGCTGGCACTTTTTGGAAACAAATAGCTTTTTTATGAAATCCAACTGGAGGTGGTTTCCCCTCCTCTTGGTCTCTGAATGCTGGCAGCAGGACATCCTCACCTCCCACCCGCCGGGGGATGAGCAGGGCAGATGGTAAATCCTGCAGGTGATCATGCAGAGCACACTGGTGGGTATAGGGGGCTTTTTCCTCTCCTAAGAAAAGCACAAAGCAATTCTACTGCAGCTGTCAAAGAGAGAAATGCTTCCCCCAGAAACAACCTGTGTGGTTCTTTGCAGCATTTTTACTGCTAGACAGCAACCAGGGATTTTTTTTTATGGAAATAGATACACCCTCCAAAAGTACAGTTCTTCACTAATGGGTTGGTGATGTTAAAGCTTTTTTGTTTCTCTGCCAGAAAGTTATTTTCTCATGAATTCTTAGTTAAATTCTAACAAATCATTCCCACCTATCAGAGCAGGATGTGCTGCTGGGACTTCACAAGTCTCCAGTCTCCAATGAGACCCTCCTGAGGCCTTGACCTTGTGTGCAGACTCTGTCTTTCTGCTACAGTGCTGCTCTAAACATCCTTCAAGATTGGTACCTACTGGTTTTCTAGTAAGTAAACTTCAAAACTCTTCTCTGAATTTTAAGGGACAAGGGTAGTACATTAAAAAGCAAGAGGCTAAAAGACAAGACTATGAAAAGGAGATAAACCATTTCACTATAATTTTTACATTAAGTGTGGAGGAGCTCTTATGAAGCTAGTGAAAGTCTTCTGGATGAGCCCTTAGGGCACATCAATTTGGAATGATTTTCTTTCTGCTCCCTCCTCACTAACATTGCTCAAAAACAATGCTGAAAATAGTTGCCAGAAATGTAATCGAGCCAGTGAAAGGCACCATAAAGGCTTCTTTGCCTGCAGTGCCTCCAGGCACATCACTTCTGCTCCTTCTTGTATTTTTCTATGTATTTAATTTAACTAGGCAGTAACCTTTACCCCATGAAACCAAGCTGGCAAAACAGCAGATTTGATCCGTGTGCTGAGCCTGGGCTGCCTTGCTGTGAACTACAGGGAAAAGTGGTGCCTGGAGATTCCCTGAGCTTGAAATGGTAGAGCCCATGTTACTTGTCCCCCTGCTCCCACTTTGTGGGAAGCTTTTGCCCCACATCTTTTCCACGTAGCCTAAAACAAAAAAGTCAGGAGAGCAAACCTCTTCAAAAGTTTGCCCTAAATAACATATAACTGTTGCTGGAGATAAATTAGTATCTCACTAATACAGTATCTCACTAATTTGTTCTTACCCTAACGTTTATACTTTCAAAATATTATAAACCATAGATAAATCAAAACAAAAGCAAAGCTAAAAATCACGCAGCCAAAACCTTGCATTAACATTATAACTACAGACCAGTCTATCCTTCACTTTGTTTCATGCAGTATTTCACTTCAAATTTTATGTTTGCCAGAGAAATTTTCAAAAAGGGAAGGTATCATTTGCATCTGGGTAATATCCAGCTCTGTGGGATGGGACCTTGCTGGTTGGAAGGTACAGAAACTGCACTGTTAAATGTGTTCATGAACACAGATAAGTGTTTTCTCATTCGCAAAAAAAAAAAAATGAGGAAAAACTATAAGATAAGAACCTGAACTCTGAAATTAGGTAAAAGTTTTAAGAGTCACTATACATATTCAATTAGCAGAATGCACAGGAACATTGGTCTACTGATATTGTACAAGAGATTGAAAAACCTCTGTGTTTGGGTGAGAATGCACTGAATTGGCACATCTGCCAGCAGCGTGGCAGCAATGGCTTCCTCACTTCCCAATGAATTCATCTGCGTTGGTCAACAGGGAAATGCTCAGGAAAATGTCTCTGCTCAATGTCCAGCTCTGCAGCATCAATCTCAAATTACAAAGCATTTCTAATGCAGGATTATGGAAGATGATGCAAAGCCAGTTCAGTCCTGTAGTTGCAAGGAAGAAGAAATTCTGGCAATAATGGAAAGACATCATCAGTATTATTGCCATAAAATGTTAGTAGTTACTACATTGGCAATGTTTCCAAATGGGTTGGCTTAGAGACAGGTCTCTTGCACTGATTACTAAATTATTTTCTTTACAAAAGTCTAAGTGGCTCTGTTTCCAGATGAATTGCCTGAAGCCACTTGGTTCAGAGCTTTAGTCCCCTGAGGTTCATCTTGGACAGTAAAGAAATGAGACAGATGAACACTAAACTACTCTGTGTAGTGGCTTGGCTGATGAGAACACTTTGGGTAAAGTACCTTTGAATTTAAAATAAAGACAGGTGAACTGAGGCTAGTTAAAAGTTAGAAGAAGTCAGAAGCAGTATTTGCTAACAAAGCATTTTAAACCAAATAAACCTTCCTAAAGGTAATCTTGGATTCGTCACATCTCACCTCACCTGGGAGAGCTGCCTTGCCAGGCAAATTAAGCTCAGTGGGCTGGCACTGCCACTTTCCCAACCCAGGCACTGCCAGATTTCTTGACTGCCCTGCCCTTGCCTGCCCCCGAGGAGCAGCATTTTCTTTATCTGAACGCACAGTCACACATTTGCCCAGCATTTGCTGAGCAACACTTACTTTTTCCGTGACAGAGAGCACCTGTGCTCAGGGAGGGGAGCTCTTTGCAGCCGCCTGCACATCTGGTGCACGGTGATGCAGCGCCGTCGGCAGGGACTGGCACAGGGAGAGGCCACGGGGGAGCAGGGAGAGTATCTCGCATAGAACCTCCTAGATACAGGTTTCCATCAGCCTTTGTTAATGTGGAAAAGGTTCCAGGCAGCACAGCAGGAAACAGCGAAGTTCAGCCCCTCTGGTAGCTGCTCCAAAGAAGATTCGAGACCAGTGTATGGTGAGGAGCTGGTCAGGTTTGCTGGGTCTGTGACTCAGGGCCTTCTTATCAGGCCTTCAGTGGGCTCTTCTCAAAGCACTCCTCACTTGTGGATGGCAGCGAGCTGAACTGCTCAGTGAGGACAAGACTCACACATGAAGAGACCTTTGGGGAAGAGAAAGAAATGGAGAGAGAGATATGAATGAAGAACAACGTTTATCCTTCAAATTTAAACATCTGTGGCTTTTACACAGTATGTTTGAAACACCTTCATTAGAATAGTCCATTAGATAAGATCCTATTAGTCAGAAGACTTGGTCAGCTATGGCTTACTCAGAACTTGTTCTGCTGTTAGTATTTTATCATTAAACCTCATTCTGAGTAATTCAAACCTCACAACACCAGGGAAAAATTGCCCATAATTGACATCTTCAGATGCAAGCAGCTTTTATCACACAAGCATCAGCAAGAACTCACACCACTCTCCTCCACTCTACTTCTTTATTTAATCTGCTTTATAGCTGAATTTCTTCTCTGGGTTCCACTGATGCAAACTTGCACTGGTTTGAATGGTTCTTCTGCGAACACAACAAAGCAGCTCCAGCCAGGAAGCTTTAATATGTCACCAAAGCTTTTCAGCAATCAGATCCCTAAGCATTAAGTTTGTTAATTAAAGTAGCATATCTGACAAATTAGCAGAAGGGAGGGGCGTATTTCTGTGCAACAGGGAGAATTTATGCCTTCTGCCATCACCAGTGGACTAGCAAAGCTAATATAGCATGACACATGCAGCACCCCTGGGCTAGAAAAGCAAGTATTATGAATAACCCACAAACAGAAACAAATTCAAAAGGTCATTAAAAACCTACTAAACCTCACAAAATTAAATTACATTGATTAATTAAAACCACTATGAAACAGTGTCACAGAATTTTGATGTAGTACTGTCACATGGCTGTGGAAACTGCCCTTCAGTAGTCCAACCAAAACTTGGCATGTTTCCATTCCCATTTGCTCTCCCGATTATGCTAAATATCAGAAAGAGGTAAAAAACAGGATGGAGGGATTCAGGAAAGCATTTAACTTTCATCCTGTTCTTTTCATTCACGAATCTTAAACTCACTTATCCAAGACAGTGGACAACATCCTTTTGCAAGAGTGAATTGTAGCCATGAGCCAATACCCATATCACGGACCACAACATGACTGGCAAAGGCAGCCAGTCCAGCATAGGAGCCCAGGCCAGGGAAAAACATGGTAGTTTGAGGAACTGAACAGCTCTTGCTCCAAAACATCTCTGCTACACAGACTAAGAAAAATAGAATGTCAAAACTCCCCAGTGCACCCTACACACCCACAGAGACCCAGAGTCTTGAGCAGCACCAAGCAAACCTCAATGCCGAGGCTGTACAGGTATGCAGGGAAGATGGAAATCTCTGCCCAACAGTTTCCTGTGGATATCTAACACAGTGCAGAAGTGCTAAATGAGTGGGGGAAGCAGCAGAAAAAGCAGCAGCGGCACAAGGAAGGCCATGAGCAGATGCTTGTTGGTTGCAGCACAATGTCTGCAGCACCAAACCAGCCCCAAGGCACGATCAGCACAGAAACAAGGGCATAGTGGAGGCACTGACACTTCTAAGCATGAAAAATGGAGGAAAATTACTGACTATAACTGATCTCAGCTAACCCACAGACCTACTGTCACATCAATATGCCAACTATCAGCCCATCAGTGCTCTTGGAAGAGGAGAGAAAGCCAAGCAGGAGGCACAGGTGACTTGCACAGTGTGTTCTTGTATAAGAGGATCCTGTGATGGAACACCCATTGTGTGTTCTTGGCTCTGCATCACTGCCTGTTTCTATGTACCACAAAACCTCTATCTTTAAAAAGTCTTTTCCAGCAAAAGTGACACTGAACTGGTAACTTGTGCTTTACCAGGCCACCCCACCATATTTATACTGCATAGAGGTCACAGGCCCTAATGAAGACTTCCCCATGCTAGTTGTTTGAGGCCCAAGGCACTCCCCTTGGTGACCATCTCAGCATGTGACAGCCTGTGACAGAGGAGTTCACAGGCACGTTCATTGGCATTCCTGTAGCAGCAGCTCTGAGCCTGAGACAAGTGACAAGCCCCCAGCCTTGTGCACCAGCACTGCACAATGCCTCCTCCTCTACCCTTTGTAAAATGACCTTTCAGGAAAGCAATTTCCAAAGTGACTAGTGTTGCTGGTGACACAGAGCTAGGGGAAACAGAGAATTTTACAGTGATTAGAATAGATCAGATTTATGGACTAACGAGACGGATGATGCACTGAAGCAGGGAATGAAATGTAATGAGGCCAAGAAAAAATTAAACACATGCTATATTCCAGCCTAAACAGCAGTGTACAAATAGACAGGAAACACAATCTAAAACAATTCACATAATGTTTAGTAGCATTATAAAGGAAAATCAGAAAAGATCTTGCAGCTCTTACAGACTTCCTAATACAGAGTAAAAACCAAGACTGTAAGGCAAGTTAGGAAGTACTGCTGTAACATCTCTATGAAAGACACAAAAAGCCTTTTAATCTCAGGAGCACTTGTTGCCACACTGAAAAATGTGACACTGCCAGACAGATTTCCAGAAGGTTCAAACTCAGTCCTGGAAGATTTCACAGATATCAGGTTATTTGAGCAACGTGAACATTTTTGCAGAGTTAAGCCTACAAGTAACATTAAATCATCCTAAAGCTTGAAGGATATGATCACTTTTAGGCATGTGACAGATAAATGCAATAGGGAAGGTGTTTCTGAAAATGAAAAAAATAAATAAATAAAACTGGAATAAAACAGGAAGAAAATTGGCTTAGGGGAGAACAGGAATGAGAACCCAAGAGTTTGAACTGGTCTCTGAAAAAGCCTTGGTAATCTGGGACTGTGGCTGAGCCACATTTGAGAAAATGCTGTGCCAAAGGACACACTGGGTTACCAAAGCAATACTGATGGGGAGGAATATTTTAATGCAAACAACTTCTTTACTGAGAAAAATATCCTTAAAATTGTAAAAATCTTCTTTATACAACGCTTGTACTTCTACTCTGAAAACATTGACCTACATGCTTAACTTTATATGTGTTGACTAATTCAAATCAACTGGAATAAGCATGTTCTTCAATTTAACATGTTTAGCATCACAAAAATCAAGTGGATTGGCACGTTGGTGTGTTCTGATCTGTCTTTGGTTCACTGCATACTTTATGCAGTTGTACTTAGGGTAACAGGAAGAACTGCAACTCCCAGAAAGCAAAGAGACAATGCAAGATTTTAAAATGTTATCAGATGCAGCAAAATTTTTCTAAATATCCCTTTTGCTTTAGAGGACTAATTTTTAAAGGCCCTCTGTACATACAACATTGTTAAAGTATTTCCTCGAACGCGGCGATTTATTAGCTGTGCTCCTGACTAGTTTCTTAATTGGGCTCAGAAGTAAAATTATCATTCAGATGTTAGCAGTTTTGCTGTCTGACGTCTAATCTATTTTGAAAGCTTAAACAAATTCTATAAATATTTAAATTAAATATAATCTGCATTTGCTCAGTGATTTTAATTAAGAATTAAGTTGCTGTTCCTCTGAAAAGTGTAAACGTTTAAAGCTGGTGCGGTAGCAGGATAATGTTAGGGCATTCTGTGCCATTATTCATATATTTTTCAGTGTATTGCAGTCTGAGTTTAGCACTGTAGTTGATGCTGCTACACAACTACTCATAATTATCTTTCAAAAAACCAAAAAAAACTACAAAAGTTTGATAACTCAATTTTTAACTACTGTGACTGACACACAGAAGAGTGTTTTACTCTTTTTTTTAGTTTATTTTTCTTTTTTTTTAATATCTATTTTAATTCCAGTTTCTTCAGGACTCCCTTCCACAGGCAAAACTCTGAGCCCATTGGATTTCTTCTGGGTGTGATGAAGAAGCCTCACAGAGATTTCTGTGGAAGAAAAGCCACCTATGCTGATTTCACACTATTCTTTTAAAACAAGCAAGTTACAATCCTATTTAAGACAAATATTTATACCTTGCATGAGGGTTACAATATCTGAATCATACCCATGGACTGCCCTGGTACTAAATAAGTGCAAGAAGACCAAAGGGTGTCCCATCCACCTCAGAGCATGTTCCCAGCACAGGGAACCTGTGCCAAGGACAACCATTTCAGAGCACCGTCCCCAAACTGTGTGTGAGTGCAGGAGGCAGGAACGTTCATGGATACTAAACTGGGCTTCTCCCAAGGGCACTGAGAGCTGGAGATGGCAAAATCATGTGCCTGCTTCCTCTGCAGGAAGGAAGAGCCTTCCCAGTACTCCCAACCCTACAGCAACACAGCCAGACAAAAAATCCACCATCACAACACGGCCAAGAAGGAAAAAAATACCTAAAAGGTGCAAGATGCTGGATAGCAACAAATTAGATGTCTAAAGTCCAGGACTGAGAACAAAATCGTTACAGGTATTTCAGAAAACCAGCAATTAAAATAGATTGTGGTTGTTTGATAATAGTCAGTGAACAAATGCAACTAAGTGTTGGACAGAAATGGGGACAATGCAGTGGTTACAGAAGAAACCAGAGAAGAATGAACTGCAAAGATTATAAATCTCACAGTCAACTGTAAGTCTTTTTCTCTCATAGTTCACAAGCAACTAAAATTGTTTCTTCTAACCTTTGAAAGTATACCTGCATAGACTAATTGCATTTTGACCACCACACAGACACTGTATCAGGCACCTTTTTCTCTGCACATGGGTTTAAGAGAAAGAGTCAGAGGTGGGGGGGGCAGGCTGTGTCTGCCCCTTACCCCAGAACTAGGATGGAACTGGGAACCAGCAAATAGAACTCCCAAGAAACAGAAGGAAAGAATATTTAAACCCAGTTCTGGTAATACTGAATGTTACCAACTAAAGCAAAGAAAAATCAGTATTTTGCAGAAAACAGCTGTCAGTTTTCCTTTGAGTGGCTTCATAGCATGTAAGAAGACAGTAAGAAGACAGCTGTGTATCTCTGGAGGCCTGATTTAAAACCCCTAGTTCATAACCAACAGGCACTTGCTAATCTAGAAATAAACCCACCACAAAACCCCAACCCAACACCCCACAAAAGAGCAATTCACACCCACACAATCACAA